GAGGGGGGGTCGTGGAATTTTTGTTTTCTGGAGCTTCGGGGCCCTGAGGGTCGTGCGGTTTGTGGGCCAAGTCTCCCGGCCTAGTGCCCCGGGACCCGCAAAACGGGAGGGCTAGGTGGCTTGCGGCCGCTTGCCCCCGTATGTGTGCCCTCGCGTGTGCCGCACGGCCTGCTCCGCAACCGTTTCATTGCTCCAATCTGCTCCAGATTCTCGCGGGGAGAGGGCGGACGGCCCACCCCGCACGAGGGCGCGCGATGGCGCCCTGAGGGAGCCCGTGGCTCCACCCGTGGAACGAAGTCGAGTGCGAGGCCGCGGCAGTGCTGCCCAGGAGCAGCTGGCCGCGGGAAGTGCTGGCCGTCCGCTGGAGCAGCGTGCGCGAGGCGCACGCGCTGGCGCGACGCTGGTGATGGTGGTGCCTGTCTCAGCCGCGGCAAGGCATGCGGGCTCCGAGGAGTTGAGAGGTGCTGGCGCTGATGTGACGGAGGAGGACGTCTCGGAGTTGGTGCTGCAAGTCCGCGCCTCGCTCAATGCAGGTCGAGCCCCACGGTCCAAGGTGGACGAGGTGCGGCGGCTCGAGGCAGCGCTGGACCCAGTGGCCGTCCGCCTGGCAGCAGGCTGCCAGGAGCTCCCTGGACCGGAGATGGCCAGCGCCCTGTGGAGCTTCACGGAGGCCGCCACCGTCGGGACTCAAGCTGAGAATCGAATCCGTCGAGTGAGTGCCGACGAAGCTGGCTGGGATCGAGTGGCCGACCGGATTTGGGCTCACGCGACGGGGGAGGACTATGACGCGCAGCCCCTGGACTGGGTGCTGCACATTGGTGTGGGCCTCCTCGTGGCGTGCGGGCTGGTCGCGCTGCTGGCCAAGTCAGGTCGGCACCGAGTCGCAGGAGCCGCTGGGGCTCTGTGTGGCAGCCTTGTGCTGTGGCGCCGCCTTCCCGTACGTGTGCGTGCCTGGTGGGCCCGCTGGAGTCGCCAGTCGGCGCACGCCGCGGCCCTCCGCAGTGGCGGGGACGGGCTCGCCGTTCTGGGGGCTGAGGAAGGCGTCGGCGCGGCCGCGGGAGGCAGTGCCCCTGGCGGGGCGGCTGCGGGGAGCTGCAAGGGAGCGGCCGAGCCGCGGGCAGGACCGCAGGCGCCGCCGCCGGGCCCCCCTGCGCTCCCCAGCCCGCCCTGGGCCCCACACGCCGAGGGCGCGGGGGTCTGGGCGGCGCCCGAGAAGCCAGTAGCGCAGGATGTGGCAGCGCTGCGGGATTTCGGCAAGGGGGAGGAGGTGACAGGACCTTTCAGTCAGACGGCGGTCCAGCAGTTGGGTGTGACGAGCACCGCCGTGCCAGGCGGGGCCCCCGCTCTCCAGGCTCATGTCCCTCACGCCGCCGCTGATGCGGTGAAGCTGGGCCAGGAGGCGCAGATGGTGCGGGTCACCCTCATCGAGTTCCAGGCCCAGGCGGCCACGAACGTGTACTGGGCGTGGCACTTCTGGGAGCGCACAGCGGCCGTTGACTCAGCGAGAGGCCTCCACCCCGACCTGCGACGCCTGCTGCTGACGCACGGCTACGTGGGGGCGGGAACCAAGTCCCCCCCAGGAGGCAGCTTGCTGCAGGAGTTGGAGGCGCTGGTGGCCACGGCAGCTGCGCCGCATGGAGGAGGCATGCAGGCCGCCCCAGGCTGGAGCTGGACACCGTCGGCGCAGCAGCAGCAGGAGGACAGTCGGTGGAACCTCAGTCCCCCATCGGACTTGAAGCGGCCTGCGCTGGAGATCCACCGCTCCATGCGCGGGGCGGGCGCGGCGAGTGCCAGGGACTGGCTGTCGCGGGAGGTCACGGGCCAACGGCGCACGGCTGTGTGGACGGACTTGTGGACGGCGGCCGCCAACGTGGACTACCTGCTGGGTGGCTGCAGGGCGCAGTCGGAAGTGCTGACGCGGCTCGCGTCAGACGATGCGCTCGAGCTGCACCTGCGCCGCCTGGCAAGCTACGTTTACGAGCTGAGGACGAAGGACAAGGCGGGCGCCGCAGCCATGGCGCCCACCTGGCTGGTGACCGAGGCCACCGCCCACAGCGAGGCGGAGCACCGGCGTGACGAGAGAGTCGCCGTCGCAGGCACGCGCGAGGGCCGAGGCAGCGGCCGCGGCTCCAGCTTCGGCGGCGGCTCGGGCGGCGGAGGAGACGCAGCCGGAGGCGGCAGAGGCAGAGGAGGAGATGGCGGTGGCCGCGGCCGGGGTCGAGGGAGCAAGCCCTCTGGCCGCGGCAAGCCGCAGGCGTGACGTTTGCTGGCGGACCGCGGGACTGACCCCCCCGCGTTCCGAGTTGGTGCCTCGCCCCAGCGGGTGCAGCCAGAGATGCCAGCGATGGGTTCACCAGGCTCGCTTGCGCGGGCCTTGCAGTGGAAGGAGGCCGCCGCCCGGTCCTTCTTCCCAGTACCTCTGCCAGCTCGACCTCTACAAGGGTGTGCCTCTTCAGGCAGGTTGAGGACGCGACGGGCTCGACGAATGCGCGCGTGGCGCAGGGCCTGCGGGCTCGTCGAGCTCATGAACGGGATGGACTGCGGATCCCTGGAGGCGAGACCAAGGGGCCAGCGAGTAGCGGGGGGCGACGAGAGGATGCTGGCCTGGAAGCTCGTGCAGCAGTACGCGTTGCAGGGCGCGGCGCGGTACGAGCGCGACTGCCGGGGGCTTGCCCCGACAGGCGGTCACGGGGCGGAGCTCGCCCACGATAGAGGACCGCAGGGCGCCTACACAGGAGAGCGGAAGAGTGTGAGCAAGCATGTGATGATGTGCGCGTCGGCCGTGGCCGAACCGCCGGATGATCGCGTTGCCGATCTGTTGGAGGCGCTGCTCGAGGGTGAGCGACAGTGCTACTCGGACGAGCTGAACGTCCTCGACTACAGCGGGAAGTCGGGCGTAATCTTCGAGGAGCTGGAGGAGCGCTTTGCGTTCGTGTGGGGGGGGGGGGGGGGTCGACGTCGGAGTACGCCCGCTACCTGATGCGGGATGACCTGCCGAAGGACATGCGGACGTTCGAGGCCCCCTGCGATGTTCGGGCCTACTGTGGTTTCAGCTGCGTACCGAAGGAGGACCCGACGAAGCAGCGTAAGGTTTTGATGATATGCGCCAGCAACTACGTGTGGGCCGACCCCCACCAGCGCGGGGGCCACGGGATGCACGGCGGGGCGGCGATGGCCTCCATGAGCGCCCCGACCGACGTGTGGGGCGTGGCGGCCTTCGACGAGGACAACGCCTTCACGCGCCTCAGGGTGCCCGCCTGGATGGCCAGGTGGCAAGCTTGCCCGCCGCTGCGGGCCTGCTGGGTGTGGGAGAAGCTGAGCCAGCGGATCCGCGACCTGGTGGGGCCTGCTGGCTGGGTGGCACCCTGCTACCACAGGCTGGCCATGGGGGGCTCGCTTTCCGTGCACCTGCTCATGACGGTGAACACGGCGATCATCGGCAGGGCGTTGCTGGGCGTGGGTGCGCGCCTGGCGGCGCTCCAGGGCGGAGCGACCCCCGCGGCGGCCGCTGTAGGCGGTGCGCCGGGGCCCTCGCCACTCGAGGATGGGGGGCTGGAGGGTGAGGCGCAAGCGGGAGATGCCCAGGAGTGTGGGCAAGCACACCTCTACGATGATGACTGGGTCGTGCAGCAGTCGAGCTGCCGCGAGGGACACCCGAACCTGGAGGGCTACAGCGTGGCCGAGTGGATCGAAGCGGTGAAGGCGGCGAAGAGGGAGGACGAGCGGGTGCTGGTGGTGATGCGCCCCTTTGCGGGCCGTCGACGACGAGGCGACGTGCAGGAGGTTCCCGAGGTGGGACCTGGCGAACCCCGCCACCTTCTCGGCCCTGGTGGAGCTGTGCGAGGGGGGCTGGGTGGATATCGTGTTGGGTGGTCCACCGTGCTCGACCTGGTCTCGGGCCCGCTACAGCCGTCGGCAGCCAGGCACGCCGCCCGTTCGCTCTCGGCTCTGCCCCTGGGGCCTGCCAGGCTTGAGCGCGTGGGAGGCCGAGAGAGTGGCAGAGAGTAGCACTTTGACGCTGAACCTGTTGGCGCTCTGCGAGGCGTGCGGCCAGAGTGGCGGCGCCTTCCTCATCGAGCACCCGGAGGACCCAGGGCGCGAGCCCTACCCATCCATCTGGAACACCAAGGAGGTGCTAGATTTTGAGAGGCGGCGCTCATCCCAGAGAGCGCGGCTAGACCAGTGTATGTTGGGCGGGCGTACCAAGAAGCCCACTTGTCTCAGTGGCGCGTTGCAGGGCGTGGAGGCCCTGAGCGAACTACGATGCGACGGCCCCCGCACCCACGAGTCTGCCGAGGGCAAGTTGGCCGACGGGGCCTTCCGCACGAGCCCCCTTGCGCAGTACCTTGAGGCGATGTGTGAGACGCCGGGCAGCATGATTGTGGAGGCCTGCTTCGAGAAGAGCGGCCTGGGTGGCACGGGTTGGCGACGGCCGCCCGAGGCAGACAGGGCGGTGACGGTCTGGGGAACTCGCAGTACGACTGCCCCCGCCGTGGCCGCGAGGAGCGAGGACGTGCTGCGAGGGCGAGGACTCGTGCTGGATGGACCGCAGATGGCCTTCTACCTGCACGTCGACGACGGCGTGGTGATGGCAGGAGGCCAGGACGGCGGCTCACGAGCGACGAGCATGATGCACCAGTTAGCGGACGCCCTGGCGGAGGCGGGCTTCGTGGTCACCGACCGCACGGAGGCCAGCGACATGCGGAAGGTGCTGGGCTACGCGCCGCAGGCACGGCCAGCTCAACTTCGGCTGCCGCCGGCGAGGGCCCGAGAGCTGGTGCAACAGCTCGAGCTGATGAGTGGCGCGCGCTCCGTGGACACGGAGGAGCTGCGGTCACTCTTGGGTGTTTGGATCTGGGGAGCGCTGCTACGGCGAGAGGTGCTGTGCCCCCCCAGCGCGGTCTTCCGCCTGCTGGAGAGATACCCGCGTCAGCGGGTGAGCACCTGGGCGACAGTTCGCAGGGAGCTGCGAGCGATGGCCAAGGTGGTGCCGCTGATGTACGCGGACCTGGGAGCCCCCCCTGCGCCCGTCTATTTCGCCGCGGATGCCATGGGCGCGAACGCCGAGGACGACGGGGGCTGGGGGGTCCTGGTGACCGACATCCGCAGGGAGATCGCGCAGGACTTCATCGACACGGGAGGCAGCTTGGGCTACACCGTGGCGCGGCTGGACGGCGATCTGACTGGGCTAAGGCGCCCGGAGCAGATGATCAAGAGGACGAAGCCCTTCAGCCTCCTGCCGGACCGCGTATTCACGCCCGACGAAGACTGGACGATCGTAGGTCAGGGGAGGTGGCGATCAGCCGACCACATCACCCTGGGAGAGGCACGCTGCGTCGTGAAGATCAGCCGCCTGGCGGCTGCATCGCCGGCCCTCCGCCGCGCCGTGCTTCCGATCCTGGAGGACAACCAGCCCGTGTCGGGCGCGGTGAACAAAGGGAGGTCCCCGGCACACCAGTTGAACCACCTGCTGCGTCAGACTGCAGCGGGGCTAGCATCACGCACAAAGATTTTGATTCCATGGGTAGAGACACTCAGGCAGCCTGCCGATAAGATATCGAGGTGCCTGAACCGTGCTGAGCTTCGAGGCCTTTGTCATGTCGGGGCCGAGGAAGCTGGACAGCACTTCTGTTGAGAAGGTGAAGCCGCACACCCTGGCAGCATACAGGGGAGCGGCGTTGAAGTTTGTGACCTACTTGGACGAGAACGGCTTTGTCCCCGACGGGCCCGAGCAGTGGGACGACCTATTGGTAGAGTACAAGAACGACATGCAGATGACTAAGTGCAACTTTGAGTATGCCGTCGCTGCAGTGGTCTTCGTGTTCCCACGCCTGAGGAGTAAGCTAACGTGGTCCCATTCGGTGATCGACGCATGGCGGGTCGCGGCTGAGGTCAAGCACGCTCCGCCGCTTGGGCGTGCGCCAGCCAACCTTGCCGCAATCTACTTTGCAGGTTGGGGTGTGCCGCGGCTGGGAGTAGGCTTGCTACTGCAGGTGGACCGCGGCCTGCGACCATCGGAGATGTTGCAGCTACGTGCAAAAGACATATCTTTACCATCGTCTAGAGGGGGGCCTGACCTGCAACCGAACTGGGTAATCAACTTGGGGGCCAAGGCAGGAACAAAGGCCAAGAGGTTGCAGTTTGCCATCATACTGGAGCGAGGTGGGGTGTTGGAGGACCTCCTCCATCGAGTGGTCCTAGGGGCCCCGCCAGAGGGCCTCCTCTTCCCTTACTCGCTCGTCGACTACAGGCATCGGCTCAGGCAATTTGAAGCAGCTTTGGGCCTCGACATCCACTGGGCGCCCCACTCGGCGCGGGCAGGCTTTGCAAGCGATTCCGTGGCTCGTGGTATCCCCTTCCAGGAGATCAAGGAGGCGGGGCGGTGGCTCACAGAGCCCAGCCTCCGAATCTACGTGGGCGTTGTCACCGCCTCTCGGGTGCTGGCACAGGCTGAGCAGCGAGGGATCGCATCGCTCGTGCGAGAGGCGGCCGAGAAGCTGCCCAGCTACTTCCCGAAGGGCATCTTCGGCGAGGGCGCGTGCGGCAAGCATGCCGCCGACGGGCTGGCGCAAGGGGGAGGGCGGGTCCTGGGTGCTTCCAGTGCCTGGGCGCCCGCCAGCCCCACTGGCGGGGGGCCGCCGAGTGGCCTCCCCTGCGCCCGCGGCGCGCCCGCCGCCAGCGCCTCCGCCAGCGCCGGACCTGGGCGAGCTGATGGGCGGGATCCTAGCGGGTCCACCGCAGCGGGGGGATGCAGCGGCGGGGGCGGCCGCGGCCGAGGCCGAGGCGCCAGCGCCAGCGAGCCATGTCGCGCTGCAGCCGCTGGCCGCGCGCCCGCAGGGAGCGGCCGCAGCGGCAGGGCAGCGGCGTGCCAGGGCCGTCGGCTGGGCGCTGCTGCGTGCGGCCTGGAGCATGGCAAGGTGGTGCGGACGCTCATCCACGCGAGGCGTGACGTGGGCGGCTGTCGCCGTCTGGCTGATCTCGTGGATGTACGCGTCGGGGCCGATGGCCCACTTCGGAACCATGATGGGCGTGGCAGCGAGCGTGTCGGTCTCGGCGGGCAAGGTGGTCGACCACGGCCTCGGAGCCGTGATCACGGCTGCTCAAGGCGTATCCGATTTCGCCGTGACCTCGACGCGCCACTCAGCCAACATCCTGCAGGAGGCGTGGAGAGGCATAGACATCACCGACCTACGGGTGCACCAGCGCCACGCCGAGCGGATCGCCGACGACCCATCGCTGCTGCAGGAATGGGTGGTACGAGAGTTTCTTTCAGTGGAGCCACGACCGCCTGGGGCAGACCAGGTAGCCAACGCGCTAGCTGAAGCGTCCGTGAGACTGCCACACGCAACAGAGAGTTGGCAAATGTTGGTGTGGCCAGGCCAGTACAGGGAGCTCCACATGACCTGCGATCTCTTGTCGACCGGATTCTACGGCGTGCACGTAGTCGACCGCATTGTGAATTTCAGCGTGCAGTGGTCGAATCCGCTGTGGAGCGGCCTCGAGTGCGACCTCGGGGCCGAGAGAGACACCGTCCGACTCCACATCAACTCGACCCTCTCCAGGCCCCCCCTACCCGCGATCCGCTACATGTCGATGAGCGACCGCGAACTCGAGCTCGCGAAGCTCCCAGGGGCCTGGATCACCATGAGTCGTCGGTTGTTTCGAGCTCTCTTCCTGGCAGTGAAGAGTGTCCTGCAGTTGTTTCTCTTCGGACAGTGAGCGGAGTCACAAGCTAAATGATCTGGTAGGGGCACAGGCGAGGGCAGGCGAGGGGCTTGCTTTTGGTTTTGGTTGTCGTGTCCCCAAGGTCCCTTCTCTTTCAAGGGGTCCCGCACATTTTGTGCGCCGGGCGCAGGGCCAAACTACGGTCCCATAGATAGCTCGCGAGCGGCGGCGGGAAGAGCTCGGCGGCAAGCCTGTAAATTAGCAAGCCAAGCGATTTTATCGAACTTCTCGCCTCCCTTTGTCAAAATTCCTGGGTTGGGTCTAAACGGACACCAGCATGGGATACTAATCGTAGAGCATGAGTGTTGATGTGGGACTTGTCAGTTTGAGGGGGGGTCGTGGAATTTTTCCCAACCATCCTGTGGTGTTGGGCCCTCGTTTTGAAGAGACGGTGCCCCGCGTCTCCTTCCTTTTCTCCTCCTCCGCCTCCTCTCCCCTCCTATCATCCTCATCGTCATCATCATCATCATCATCGTCATGATCATTATTATCATCATCATTATCATCATCATTCCTCTCCTCTCCTCTCCTCTCCTCTTCTCTCCTCTCCTCTCCTCTCCTCTCCTCCTCTCCTCTCCTCCTCTCCTCTTCACCCACCCAGTACACCGTTTCGTGGCCCCATAAAGAGCTCCACCGAAGGCCCCAGTGCCCGCGCCCGCATGCGTCACCCACACCCAATTCGGCACACCCCTCACACGTTTCGTGGCTCCATAGGGAGCTCCACCGAAGGCCCCACTGCCCGCGCCCGCATGCGTCCCGCACACCCATTTCGGCACACCCCTCACACGTTTCGTGGCTCCATAGGGAGCTCCACCGAAGGCCCCAGTGCCCGCGCCCGCATGCGTCACCCACACCCATTTCGGCACACCCCTCACACGTTTCGTGGCTCCATAGGGAGCTCCACCGAAGGCCCCAGTGCCCGCGCCCGCATGCGTCACCCACACCCATTTCGGCACACCCCTCACACGTTTCGTGGCTCCATAGGGAGCTCCACCGAAGGCCCCAGTGCCCGCGCCCGCATGCGTCCCACACCCATTCGGCACACCCCTCACACGTTTCGTGGCTCCATAGGGAGCTCCACCGAAGGCCCCAGTGCCCGCGCCCGCATGCGTCACCCACACCCATTTCGGCACACCCCTCACACGTTTCGTGGCTCCATAGGGAGCTCCACCGAAGGCCCCAGTGCCCGCGCCCGCATGCGTCACCCACACCCATTTCGGCACACCCCTCACACGTTTCGTGGCTCCATAGGGAGCTCCACCGAAGGCCCCAGTGCCCGCGCCCGCATCAGGGAGCTTTGGTGCCCGAGCCGCCCATGCGCCCGCATGCGTCACCCACACCCATTTCGGCACACCCCTCACACAGTTTCGCATGCGTCATCACACGGGCTCCATAGCTCCACCGAAGGCCCCAGTGCCCGCGCCCGCATGCGTCACCCACACCCATTTCGGCACACCCCTCACACGTTTCGTGGCTCCATAGGGAGCTCCACCGAAGGCCCCAGTGCCCGCGCCCGCATGCGTCACCCACACCCATTTCGGCACACCCCTCACACGTTTCGTGGCTCCATAGGGAGCTCCACCGAAGGCCCCAGTGCTGCCGCCCGCATGCGTCACCACCCGAATTCGGCACACCCCTCACACGTTTCGTGGCCCCATAGTAGAAACTCCGCCGAAGGCCCCAGTGCTGCCGCCCGCATGCGTCAGCCACACCCATTTCGGCACGCCCCTCACGCGTTCCGTGGCCCCATAGGGAGCTCCGCCGAAGGTTCCAGTGGGTGTGCCCGCATGCGTCCCGCACACCCATTTCGGCACACCCCTCACACGTTTCGTGGCCCCATAGGGAGCTCCACCGAAGGCCCCAGTGGGTGTGCCCGCATGCGTCCCGCACACCCATTTCGGCACACCCCTCGTACGTTTCGTGGCCCCGTAGGGGGCTCCACCGAGAAGATATTCACAATTGCAGTATTCACAATTGCATATGGTTGGGTCCTTCGCCAGGAGGGTCGTGCGGTTTGTGGGCCAAGTCTCCCGGCCTAGTGCCCCGGGACCCGCGAAACGGGAGGGCTAGGTGGCTTGCGGCCGCTTGCCCCCGTATGTGTGCCCTCGCGTGTGCCGCACGGCCTGCTCCGCAACCGTTTCATTGCTCCAATCTGCTCCAGATTCTCGCGGCCCCCCCACCGTCCCCCGCCGAGCCGAGCTCGGCGGCAAGCCTGTAAATTAGCAAGCCAAGCGATTTTATCGAACTTCTCGCCTCCCTTTGTCAAAATTCTTGGGTTGGGTCTAAATGGACACCATCATGAGGATGAGGATGAGGATGAGGCTGATGCTGATGCTGATGCTGATGATGATGATGATGATGATGATGATGATGATGATGATGATGATGATGATGATGATGATGATGATGATGATGATGCTGATGATGATGATGATGATGATGATGATGATGATGATGATGATGATGAACGCACTGTTCTTGCTGAAGCGGTGGTGCTTCGTGACATGGGTGTGTTTTTGCCCCCTGGGACTACCATTAAGTCGGGCCTGTCCCTGTACAGGTGGAATATTTTGAAAAATAGTTAAAAAATAGTCTGGGGATTATTTTTGTGGATTATTTTCAGATAGTTTTGGAATATTTTGTTTCGTGTTTGTCATTTTTCGTCGAAAATCCTTCTTCTGGGGGACACGCCCGATTCAACCCTGGGACTGCCAACCCAGGAGTGGCCTCCCGCGGCCGAGCAGCCAGTCGTTTGGAGGTGCGGAGGCTCACGCTCCCCCCGCGCCTCCGGGCTCGGCGCGGAGGCTCGTGCTCGTCTCCGGCGCTGGGCGCGCGGCCCTGGACGCGCAAGAAGGACCGTGCTCCTCCTGCACTCCAGGGGCCCGTGCTGGGGACGAGGTCCCACATGGCCACTCCTGATCACTCGTATTTCTCCTCCTCCTCTTCCTCCTCCTTCTTTCTCCCCTCCTCTTCTTCTTCCTCTTCTTCTTCTTCCGCTTCTTCTTCTTCTTCTTCCGGGTCGCTCCTCCTGATCACTTCTCCTCTTCTTTTTCTTCCTCCTCCTCCTCGTTCTTTCTCTTCTCCCTCCGGACCCCCTCTTCTCCCCGCGCGCGGTGCGAGGCCCAGATGGCAGCGGCGGCGGCCTTGGGCGTCGTCGCCAGCCGGGGCAACGAGCGCGCGGTGGAGGGGGGAGGATGGCGAGGGTCGTGGCGGCAAAGGAGGAGGTCGAGACCGAGGAAGAGGAGGAGGGGAGGAGAAGGGGAGGAGAAGGAGGAGGAGGAGGAACAAAACGGGCAGCAGTAGTCGTAGTAACAATAGTAATAGTAGTATTTGTAGTAGTAGCAGTAGTAGCAGTAGTAGTAGTAGTAGTAGTAGTAGTAGTAGTAGTAGTAGTAGTAGTAGTAGTCGTAGTCGTAGTCGTAGTCGTAGTAGTAGTCGTAGTCGTAGCCGCAGTCGCGCTAGTAGTCGTAGTAGTAGTCGTCGTCGTTGTAGTAGTCGTAGTAGTAGTAGTAGTAGTAGTAGTAGTAGTAGTAGTAGTAGTAGTAGTAGTAGTAGTAGTAGGTGGTAGTGGTAGTGGTAGTGGTAGTGGTAGTGGTAGTGGTAGTGGTAGTAGTAGTAGTAGTAGTAGTAGTAGTAGTAGTAGTAGTAGTAGTAGTTGTAGTAGTAGTAGTAGTAGTAGTAGTAGTAGTAGTAGTAGTAGTAGTAGTCGGAGTTGAGGGGGTGAGATCGAAGTGGAACGGACAGCCCCCCTACCGGGAAATCGGTTTCGGTTTCGTGTTCGTGCGTGCCGTGCGTGCGGGCGAGGCGAAGCTGCGTGGGCGGGCGAGAGGAAAGTCTCCTCCGGCTGAGGCGCGGCCGGACCGAATGATTCCTGTCCGGGGGCCGGTGGCCCGCGTTGTCCCGCCGGTGTCCAGCCTCCGGCTGAGGCGCGGCCGGACCAAATGATTCCTCTCCGGGGGCCTCTTGGTGCAGCCTGGGACTTCTTGGGGCCTCTTGGGGGCCTGCTGATGGTGTCGGGGGTCATCTTGGAACGAAGGGCGCGAGGTGTCAGCTCGTGTTCCCCGTCTTCGGCCTCTCTTGGCCCCCCTTGGTCCGCCTTGGGGGCCTCTTGGGCCGTCTTGGGGCTTCCTTGGGCCAGCTGGGGGCCCTCTTGGGGGCCTCTTGAGCCGTCTTGGGGTCCTCTTGGGCCGTCTTGGAGCATCGGAAACTAGAAGAGGCGAGACTGTTCTGATTTTCCAAAAGCTCACAGACAGTCATTTTTGCCTCTTGGGGCCCTCTTTGGCGGCCTCTTGGGTCCCTGTTGGGGACGTCTTGGGGGCTTCTTGGGCCAGCTTGAGGCCATCGTGGGCGTCGTGGGGCCCGTCTCGCTCGCACTCGTCACCCCTGTTTGCTGGAATCGCTGGAATCCGCCTCCTCCTCCCCCTCCTCCCCCTCCTCCTCATCTTACGTTCTTTCTCATGCTTTTTCTCCTCGTCTTCGCACAGCGGAGACGACTGCTTGCAGGGACGAATGAAGGGGAGACCTGGGGCGGGAGGGTGCATTTCAGAATCGTCGGTGCATACTAGGTTGGTTATGGTCCTCCTCCTCCTCCTCCTCCTCCTCCTCCCTATACCCCCCTCCTCCTTTCCATTCGGGTAAATTTTGGTCCGATCGATCCGACTCGATATCGATTCTGGATGCTTCCATGGTGCTATTCCGCATCCTGGCGCAGCCCATCCGATTCGTTTTCGTTTCCTAGCAGATGCAGCCCGATCCGACGCACGTTTCGACTCGACCCTGTTTTCCGATTCTATGCTGACTGATCCTCCCCCTCCATCTACCCAGAGGGAATGGATTTGACGCTGGTATAGCGAGTGCGAGGTGGAGATGTCGCTCGCCCTGGCGGTGGACCGCGACGCGGGCACCAGGCCGCTGGCGCCGTTCGTTGTCCGTCGTCTTCGTCTTCGTTGTCGTTGTCCGTCGTCCGTCGTCTGTTGTGCGTTTTTCGTCTCGTCCACCGTTTGTCGTCCGCCGTCCGCCGTCCGTTGTCCGTCGTCCGTCGTCCGTCGTCCGTCGTGCGTCGTACGTCGTCCGCCGTCCGCCGTTCGTCGTCGTCGTCGTCGTCGTCGTCGTCGTCGTCGTCGTCGTCGTCTTGGTCGCCGTCGTCGTCGTCTTCGCCGTCGTCTTCGCCGCCGTCGTGGTCGTTGTTGTCGTCGGAGCAGGGGGAGGGGGAGAAGGGGGAGTAAGAGCGTGAGGAGGGGGAGAAGCACGGCGAGAAGGATGAAGGGGGGGGTGAAGAGGAGGCACGGCGAGGATGATGAGGATGAAGAGAAGGGGCAGGGGGATGACATGTGGGCAGAGTGAGCATGGAGGAGGGAGAAGGGATTGCCGACGAGGGGGAGGCAGATAAGGGTGGGGATGAAGTGGAGGAGGAGGAGGAGGGGCAGGAGGAGGAGGATGAGGAGGAGGAGGAGGACGACGAGAGGAGGGAGGGGTAGGATGAGGCAGGGGGGAGTATGAAATGGAGGTGGGGGGAGGCGGGAGGAGGAGGAGGAGGAGGAGGAGGAGGAGGAGGAGGAGGAGAGGAGGGAGGAGGAGGAGGAGAGGAGGAAGCGGAGGAGCAGGAGGAGGACGAGGGGGAGGAGGAGGAGAGCGGCTTCAACGACGACGGCGGCGGCAGCTTTCCCTGGAGGTACCCATTCTGGCAGTTTCCCACCGGGCTTTGGAGGTCCCTCGAGCCTTCTAAAAGCCATCAGTGCGGTGCAATCTTGGTGGTGCGATCCACGTGGTGCAATCTTGTGGCGCAGCGCAATGCGAACACATGCAACTAAGTGCAAGGCACGACGCAGCAAAACAACGACATGCACAGGAATGCAAAGCAAGACAGCAATACAACGACAGCCAGCACAATGCAACATAACGCCAAGCAATGCAGAGCAATGCAGAGCAATGCAGAACAATGCAAAGCGATGCAAAGCGATGCAAAGCAACGTACATCAGAGCACTGCACAGCATCGCGACGCACGTGGCGGCGACGGACGGCGGCGGCGGGCGGCGACGGGCGCCAGGGCCCAGCTACCTGAACAGAGAATTAAGAACCCCTCATTGCAAGCGCTGTTTGGGGCAAAACCATCCAGATCATCGATTCTCGTTTTTTCGATCTTCGACGACGCTGCGTCGATGACGGCGGCGGCGGCTGTGGTGGCGGCGCCGACGAAGCCCGAAACCGACGAAGCACCGCCGTCTTGAATTCTTCGATGCGCTGGAGGTCTGGGTACTTCTCGTCACCTTCTGGCTCCCACACGCCCCCGCCGAGGCGAGCGGCGATCCGCGCGCTCGGGCTGGTGGCCCCCGCGGGGGACGCCGCCGCGACCAGCCGCGTCGGGGCGTGCCTCGAGGCCCCCGGCGGGCCTCTGGCGCGCCGGCCGCCGCCGCCGGGCCGCGCCGCCGTCAGCGCGCCGCCGGCCGCTCCCCGACCTCCAACGTCGGATAGTACATCCCGGAAGCTTCCTCTCCTGCACGAACGTGTTCTCACGGCCTGCCGCTCCAGCACCTGCAGCGTCGGGCGTGAGACATGCTAGCTGGCGCTGGAGGTCGGGGGACACGCTCCTGTGGTGTGCCATCTGACGCTGGATGTCCGCGGAGGCGGACCTCCAACGCAAGCGGATCAACTACGTGATGTTGGGGGTCAGGAGCGGCTGCTGTGACTCCACGAGCGTGTCCCACGACCTCCAACGTCAGATGGTGTATCACGGATACCGGCGAATAGCGCCCAAGAACGCGCCGTAGTGGCAAATAGCGCTCCATGGCGCCGGGTACCGCCGAGTAGCGCTCAGGCAGCTCCCAACAGCGCCCAATAGCGCCCAGTAGCGCCATGTGAGGAAGATGCACTCTGTCCGCTTTGCGCTCGATTGGGCGCGCGATTGGGCGCCATGGAGACGACTAAAAGCTTCCGTTGGTTGCTGTCTAATCAACGTGTTGAAAAATCAGGACAACAGTTTTTGTTCGTTTTCGGAGTCTGGGGGCCCTCGCTGGGCCCCAGGACCGTCAACAAATCGATCCAGGATGAGAAACCAGTCCCTAGGAAGTGGTCCAGAGCTCAGGGGCAACGATGTGGGGGGCAAGGGCACAAGGGGGGTGATGCATCGACCACCAATCGCCCATTGATCGCCGATGGGGTCTGATGGTCCCACCCCGCCCAGGAACGTGCGGATTCGGAATGGGGGCCTATCGCCGATCCATCGGCGATGTATCGCCGATTCCAGGTCGATGTTTCCCCCCCTATGCCAGTCGCCCCCCCTACCCGTCGGTCGTTGAAAGTAGATGCTCTTCGATTCCCAGATCTCACTCTACCTCAAGCGGCTTCCTACTTCAAGAACCGATCTGCTTCTGCTGCGCTTCGTTACTCTCTGTGAGGTCCTGGACCACATCTACTTTATCATCCGCCTTCCTACTTCGTGTCTTTATGTACTTCCTCCGAACGACGTGCATTGTCGCCCCTCAAGTGTTCTGGGGGCCCCGTCGTATGGAAAGCACTCACGACATCGGAGGAGGAGGAGGAGGAGGAGGAGGAGGAGGAGGAGGAGGAGGACGAGGAGGATGAGGAGGAGGAGAAGGGAGTAGGAGGAGGAGGAGGAGGAGGAGGAGGAGGAGGAGGAGAGGAGGAGGAGGAGGAGGAGGAGTGAGGAGGAGGAGGAGGAGGAGGAGGAAGAGACGCCCTTGCCGTGGCGGCGGTGGCGGCGGCCCGCAGAGCCTCAGCAGCTGGGAAGGCAGCTTCCATGGCCAGCACCTGGGCCTCGATGGACTCGAACAGGGCCAGCCCCTGGTTGCTGGTTGCAGCTGCAGGGGCGGCACTGAGCAACGTCTGCAAGCCGCGCAACTTGGTGGCGAGGCTTGCCATGTCCACGCCTCAAGAGCACGCCGCCGAAGCTGCCGCGGCACGCGGGGTTGCAACAACCTCCACCTCCAAACCAGCGATGGTGTCGCCGAGCTGCTTCTTCTTCGCGCGTAGGCTCTCATCCTGTGCCTCGGCAGCCTGCAGAGCAGAGGCTGCCTGATCGTGCTCCTCTCGGGCCTCGGACAGGCGGCCCTGGAGCGTGTGGAGGAGGAGGTCGGTGGGCTGAGCCTTGCGGTCCTCCGCCTCCAGCATGGCCAACCCACGGGCCGCGGCGACGACAAGGGGGTGGTCGGCAACACACTGAAGGTCCTGCAGGGCTGCCAAGCCCTTCCGTGCTCTGGCGACCGCAGGGCTGTCGGTGGTCCCAGCAGCAGCGGGCTCCCCAGCACGCTGGCCAGCAGGAGGAGCAGCCGAGCGGCGGTGGCGCCCAGCGGACGGGGCACGGGCGGAGGCCTTGGCCTTCGGCTCGGCGGCAGGCGTCAGGCGGCCTTGGCGGTCGCGCCCGCACTTCCAGCACGTGGTCCTCGTCGGAAAGTTGGTGCGGACACCGCAGAGGCGCGTTGCCACGCACTGCCATGGCTGCTGGCCGCCACCTGCAGCAACGTCGGCCCCTGCACGTCGCCACGGCGCACCAGCCGATGGCATGGCTCCACTGTCAACGCGCAGGCGTTCTCCGTGGTGGCCAGACAGCAGCCGCCGCGCGGCAGCGCAGCGCAACATGAGCTTGGCGCGCGAGCGAAGCCGCCGAGCCCGCCGATGCCAGGCCAGCGAGCGTGATCTGACGCGCTCGGGAATGGCTCGAGTGCCCGAGACTCGGGCAGCTGGCTGGAGCCGAATGGAAAGCGCCTCCCTCGTCCCAGCGGGGGGGCGGGGCACGGAGCACAAACAAGAACCTATGATGATGATGATGATGAGGAGGAGGAGGAGGCGGAGGAGGAGGAGGAGGAGGAGGAGGAGGAGGAGGAGGAGGAGGAGGAGGAGAGGAGGAGGAGGAGGAGAGGAGGACGAGGAGGAGGAAGAGGAGGAGGAGGCGGAGGAGGACGAGGAGGAGGAGGAGGAGGAGGAGGAGGAGGAGGAGGAGGGAGGAGTATGAGTAATACCATGAGTATTATTGGTGTACATAGTATTGCGATTGAGAAGGCTACCAGTAACAACCATAACACCTACTAATACGAACGCTTCTAACCTACGGTGAATGGTACTGCTGCTAGTAATGTCACGCATGTGTAGGCGACAGATACGAACAAAACTGCTAAGCATAATGTTGGCGAATGTGCTATGTACAAGCATACTACCAAGGCTAATAATGCGAATGCTCAGACGGCGACTAATTTTAAGACGACTAAGAACAACCCTAAGACGCATGCTAGTACCACTTTGACGAATCATATTATTAACGAGAAGAAGACCAACCACCATACACCAACACAACGACTCATACAATGACATACCATACTACTGATGCTACTAATAGTAGGGCAGACCATACGACGACGACTAAGACGAATCCGACGACACATACTGATACACCTAACATTCATACGAGGAGGAGGCGGAGGACGAGGATGACAAGGAGGAGGACGAGGCGGCGGAGGAGGAGGCGGCGCAGGAGGATGAGGATGAGGAGCAGGGGGAGGAGGATGATGAGTCATACTACTACCATTAGTAAGAATAGTGCCACTCCAACTAGTACGACTACACATATGAATACGATTGACAGTAATACCAACACGTGTAACAGCACAGGGATTAATTCTACGACTAAGGGGACTAGTGAGACGGCTACTTATACGACGGACATATCTATTATTTGTGAGATTATAATATAGATAGTCGTAGACTCACAATACTTACACTACTACTACTACGGATATGATTGATATGGCCACGTACTACAACTCACTAATACTAACACGAGGGGCACTAACACGACGCACAATACCAATATTCCGTATACGAAAGCCAATACCAATACTGATGATTCTCGCACTCAGATAGACAAGAACTCTAATACTAATGCTCATAGTTCTATGTTTAACCATAAGAACAAACACACCTAGTAGTACGTACGGTAATAACAGCAGGACGACTTTTCACACTAATACCACCAGTACTAATAATACTAATGCGACCACGGACGCACTACACCATACCACTAAGACGACTTCTGTTAACACTAACACTGCTAGTAGTACGAGTAATACTGATCACATTCATGCTATCACTAGACAGAGGAACCGGAATACTGGCAATAGGCGTACTATTACGAACAAGAAACGTATTCATACTACTCAGACGACTAAGGCCAGTATTACTAAGACTCAGACGACTGAACATGCGACGCATAAGAAGACTAGTCTTACTAGTCGTGCTACGAATAAGAACCATTTTACTAGGCATACTCATATCATCACGACACATACTACTACTACTGCTGCTACTACTACTACTACTACTACTACTACTGTTAATGCGGGTATAGTAATACCATGACGAAGGGTACTACGAACACTACGAATAATACTATGATCGCGAGGAGGAGACGGAGACGGAGGCGTAGGAGGAGGAGGAAGATGCGGAGGAGGAGTACGAGGAGGAGGGCGACGACGATCATGGCGAGGAGGAGGAGGATGAGGAGGAGGAGGAGGAGGAGGAGGAGGAGGGGGAGGAGAAGGACGACGACGTCGAGAAGGAGGAAGAGGGAGGAGGGGGAGGGGGATGGAGGAGGAGGAGTAGAATGAGGAGGAAGAGCAGGAGGAGGGAGATCAGGAGAAGGAAGATGATGACGATGATGATGATGCTGATGATGATGCTGATGATGATGATGCTGATGATGCTGATGCTGATGCTGATGCTGCTGCTGCTGATGCTGATGCTGATGATGCTGATGATGAGGAGGATGATGCTGCTGCTGATGATGGTGATGATGATGCTGATGATGATGATGATGATGCTGATGATGATGATGATGTTG